TGTGGGGGAATCGACCGTCAAACGAAGTCGATTGCCATATACAAAAAGGAGTCTACGTCCTCCCTATGACCTAACAATTTACTTCTCATTGAAGTTAAGTGGGCATCCTATTGCGAGTCATATAAGTGCCGATTCTTTTGGTTAGTCTTGCGTAACGAACTAAACTGTCAAGGAGGGCAAATATTTATATATATATGATATAATATAGATAAATAAGAAATTTGCCTTGTAGTTTAGTTGGTTAGACTAACCAACAATCGGACTATATTCTCGCCACATAGTGTCCATCTCTAACTCAAATGAAAAGTGTTGTTCAGACATAGGGGAGGCGCAGACTTCTTTTCGATGGTTGACAATCGTCAATGCACGGCAACATGCTTGATTGATTGATTGTTTGGGGGAATTTTCCACCCCTCCCATCTTAAACTCTTGGGGCCGAGCCTTCGCGTCGGGCCGAACCACGCCCCTTAGCTGTGATATAATGAGCATATACCACGGCCTGTCGTGAGCTATTGCGTAAGTATACTTGGCTGCATCTCTGTCACTCATGCTTTTTACATAATTTATATTATTACATTTTAATATATTTTTTGAATTATATATTAAATTGTATATATGTTTTTTTATAATATATTTATATTTATATATATATTTACACTTTTGATGTATTATAATTAAAACAATAATCATTTAGAATTGATATTCAGGATAATATAAATATTATATTTCTATACAAATATTTATGATAATGTCTTTCCCATTGTAAACAGTCATTCAAATTATATTTTTTATAAGAATCCATGCAAAAAACATTGTATTTTGTGTATAATGTCTATAAATGTGCGTGTGTGACTGTAGCTGCTGGAGATGAGTGTTATCGAGGAGCTGGATTTAATGGAAGAATAATAGGAGCATCTGCCAGCTTTACTTAGAGACTGCCGGACTCCAATGTCTCTATATGGTTTGCTATGGTTTGTCTCTCGCGTCTTCAGCAGGAAGCCAAGGCTTGTGACTCTGAAGGGAATGAATACCTGCTGTACACTGTTTGACGAAAAGTGAGGTGCTATGAAATCTTCTCGTCTGTATTTGCTGCTTAGAGCCAACCAGAACCAGATGGGAAGGGACCGAGCGCCGAGAGTCTGCACAAGAAGATCAGGAGGCTGGAGTCTGAGCTGGACAAAAGAGTAGAAGGGAAAAATGCCAAGGATGATCATGAAAAGGTTTGCACATCAGTTCTGTTAATCACATTATCATCTGTTTGCACGTTCTCCTGATGGACGACTTGTTTCTCTGACAGACCAAAGGAGAAGTGGTGCGTTGGGAGGAGGGGAAGAGATGGCAGGCCAAGATGGAGAAGCTGAAGAACTCGTTGAGGGATAAAGAGAGAGAGAACGAAGCCCTTTTGAAACAACTCGGCACTCTCAGAGACCTCTATTCCAGGTCAGTGTGTACATCGCCCTGCTCACAGCTTCCTTTCATCGTATCTTTGGAAACACCACATCATCACTTAAAGTGGACCTATCATGCTATATTTGAATAATATAGTGTAGGACCATACCTATATAAGGCATATTTATACTTTTTATTTTTCAAAATACCAAACAGATCATGCATTTTAGCCATTCCTCATTTCGCTCAATGTAACACTGTCTTTTCATGGGCTGATTCTGTGAGAACAGCACCACCTACAGGCCTGGCATATGTACTACAGCGTCTCCAGGGCTTTCCACTATTAAATATCCTTAAAACGTCAAGTTCAGTACAGACTTTATTATTTATTCGCGTCACAACAATGAGCGAAGTTTAGCCTCAGAGCGGCCGTATTCAATGGGAATATAGCCGCCACAATTTATAATAATAACAATGATATATCGAGGTGTGCATTTTTACATTTGTTGCCATTGTATTTCCCTTGTGTGTTTCTCAATTTCCCCTATGTGGGACTAATAAGGGTTTCTGATGAAATAGTGCAAATGAGTGCAACATATTTACGCTGCTATGGAAATATTTTTCTTTCACTAATTTGCACTCTGTACATCAGGGCTATTCAATTAGTTTGGAATGGGGCCGGTTGATGAAAATGATCCAAAGCAAGGGGCCGGGAAAAATATGGCTTGAAATATGAGCAATCATATTAAGAGCTTCAGATACAGTAAATACTACAACAGCATAGTGGAGTGCATATATTGTCTTCAAAGGTCCCATCTCATGCTTTTCTGGTTATTACCCGTCCCCTTGTGTGTTATGTAGCTTTTTCTGCATGTAAACGGTCTGCAGAGTCACAACCCTCAAAGTACACCCTGTTGTGAGTAAAACTCTAACACAGAAAAGACCTGTCTATGCTGCCTCAGAACGCCTCGTTGGACATTTCTCTTTTTCCATTGTTTACTTCTTTCCATTGTTTAACTTCTTGGGTAGTGACGTATTTCGGGTATAGTGACGTAAAGTCCGCGGAGCCGTTACGTTTGGACCAATCCGCGGACTTCCTCACACACTCACACACGGCGGGACGTTGCGAGGCTCGCTGCTGCGGGGAGCGGGACACTGTGAGCTGGCTCACTGGTGTGGGGTCGGCGAGACAGCGAGGAACTCAGCCTGGGCACACACACAAACTCCCAGCCAGGCTGCGGGTGTGTGTGCGTTTCAGGCTGGGTTTCACTGTGTCTCGACGACCACAAGAACTACAGCTCTAGACAACAAATGATGCATCTATGTAAAAATTATATGTACATAATTTCCTTGACCTTGATTGTCAGTGAACAATTCTATAGTCTGTTCCTATGAAGACTACTGAACAATAATGAACTACCACTCCCTAGAGCAGAGAGGTCGAGACCTCGAAGGATAAGAGTCGCTAGAAGGTCGAGGGAGAGGTAGAGTCGCGAGCGCGTGAGTGGTGAAGTGTTCTAGACGGCATGTGCGAGTAAGCTGGGAAGTAGAAGGAGTCGTCTCTCGAGAAGAGGACGATGGTCAGAACGCGTTTGTGTCTCTTAGTGTTAGCAGTTGTCAGTTGAATAACAGTAGAGTTATGACGAAACATGTGTGCTTGTCACTTTATGGAGCAAGGGGTGTCAGCTCTCCATATTTTTGTGTGTAAGTTTATGTTCTTGTGACGTTATTAATAGAATGTTTTTAGGGGTTTTATTGGCAAATGAAGTTTCATTAGTCCTATATACATTTCTTTCCACTAGGGCCGGGGGCCCCCACATATAAGTGACCGGGAGAACTTATTACAATAAAAACCAAATACAAATTAAAAAACCCCGGTCTTCACGGAAATAAGGTCTCTCCCACAATGTACTCTCTACTCCCTTCTGTTAGGACTTGAGACGCTGCCAGGCCCAAAGCTTGGGTTGGACGTTCGATGACATCACTTGTTGGACAGAACTATTGTAGAGACGCACTTTATCTAGTAAAGTGGATTTAGGTTAGTTTACACGCCTACCAATTACTCGAGTTAAGCCAGATGACTCAAGACTCGTAATCTAGCATATGTCCGGATACACAAACTAATTAATTCCAGGGTGCAGTACTTGGTAAAGATGGAGCTAGTAGTGAAGGTCAATAACTCCACATATCTTATCTAAATTGTACCAAAGAGTATGTCCGTGAGAGACATATCATACACATAAGTGTAGAGACAGGATTCGTTTTGCCGACAACGTCGACAGGACGGTGGGGGGAGGACACTCGGGTTCACNATTACCCATCAGCCCCAGGGGTAACGCTGCCTTTCCTCTGCACGTTGTTTCACTTTCAGACACACAGAGGACTGCTTGTATGATGGGATCACAGACACGCTGCAAACGATGTCCGCCAAAAATCGAGTCCAGTGTCTATGGAGTGTCATTTTTTATTTGTTATAGTTTGGGAAGATTGAAAATTGAAATTGGAAATTCGGTAGGGAAAGCCAGCTAAGTCGGTAGGCGGTAGAAACATGTCAAAAGCGGTAGACTACCGCTTGGGCTGCACGATTTTGGGAAATAATCTAATTGAGATTTTTCTGACAGATATTGCAATTTGATTTGCGATATTTGTTTTTAAGCGACCCAACTGAAGTTTATTGTAAAATGCGGCCATATCTCCGGCTAGGAAGGTCGCATTAACATGCTCCCGTCTCTAGCACCCCCGCAGCCCGAGCTACGAGTGAAAGAACTAAACTTACATGAAACTTCCGTTGGGTTGCTTTAAAGTCAAGCTTCAGTTTCAGATTCACCCTGTAATAGAAACATGTGATGGAGCATTACTAACCTGACTCAGACGGTTTGTTTCACCAAACCATCGAGGAAAGCTCCATTGGAAGCCATTTGGAAAGGGCAGGCACTTTCAAAAAGACTTGGCAGGTGATTGGATCAATCTGTCTATCACCTTCTATCATGGGCCACTTCTGATTGGTTAACAATGTCTGGTACACGTGGAGCACAGCACTTCTGATTGGTGTGGATGACTGACACACAAGAAGAACAAAAAAACAAACAAAAAAATGTAAAAACATTTATTTAAAAAAAATCTGCCCTAACTACCGCCCAAATCGGTAGAGTCGGCAGGTAGGGTCGTGTTTAATTTCACACATTTAGGAATAGCTGTTGATCTTATAAACTGACATAAAGAAAGCTTGGGACGCGAGTTATGATTATATTTCCTATAAAGAAACAGAAAATAATCGACTATGTTCCCAGTAAAGACATCAAGTCGACTCCAATGTGGCTTTATTCCTTTGATTAAACACCACTACACCTCATTTGAGTCGGATATTAAAAGTCAGTAGATAAAAAAACGTACTATTTTTGATATAGTTTAAAAAAAAAATGTCATCTGTATAGTATAATCTGACAGACAGTTGTATATTCTACATTATGCTAACATATTGTTATATTTGCATTTGCTGGTATTAATAAAATGCCTTTAGCCTTTCCATGTGTTAGTCGGTTTCTCAACAATCTGCTACTTCCTTGTGGTGCCAGTCTGTCTGTGTGTGTACTAGTAAAGGGTGATTGAGTCTGACTCAGTAATGGGGACAATCATTTCAAAATTGGTCCAGTATTGAGTCAAAAAGGGGGCTGCAATACAGTTGGAAAAATGACCTTTATAACACACTACAGGAAAAGGGAAACCCATTATTCATTGTGGCTCAAAAGATAGATTGTTGCTCTCAATCGGAAGGTCACAGGTTCGATCCCCATCTCAATGTGTCCTCGGCAATATACCTCTGAAGCCTTTCTGTGAATGGCTGAATGCTCACTTGTATATGTAAAAGCGCTCTGAGAGTTTGACACAAACACACTATAAAAAAAGCAGTCCAAGGTATTGTGCGATCATTTTGTTGACGAGGGGGGGGGTGATAATGTCTGTAATATGTTGATAATATTTGCACAATATGAAAATCGATAGCATCAAGAAATTGTATGTCGTTTTGGTGTCCAAGAATGGTTAACCCTGATGTACAACAGGTGCAGTTATGTAAGCATCCCCTTGTATGTCTTTTGACGCAGGTGCGGGTGCAAGAACTTAACGAAGAACTTCAATCGGCAAAGGATTCTGCAAGAGCAGCGCGAGGCCGAGAGAACAGCCTGAGAGAGGAAGTGGACGGGCTGACCCAGGATCTGCAGAGGAGTGTGAAGGCTCAGAGACGCATGCAGGCGGAGAGGGAGGAGCAGGAACAAGAGGTCCAGGAGCTGAAGCAGAAAGCCAAGAGGTTCAGCAGCGCCCTCCAGGTTAGACCCTCTCAGGGAGCTTCTGATTTATTAGAAAGCACGCAGCTCGGTTAGACTTCAATCTGAAGTGTGTTGTTGCTGCCTTGAAGTGAAGCGCTCAACAGCAGCCACATGACAGCCGATATCAGCTCAACATCATGCGCACAAGACTTTCAGACAATTCAATTGAAATAAATTGAGGAATGCATCAAGAATGGAATTTTAGATTATTCTGAGATCTAAGATAAACTTCTCCGGTGGAAACCTAATCAAATTATTCTACTCAGTGCCCTCTAGTCTTTTTTTAAACTTCAGTCCAGATTTGTCTCGGGACTTTGGCTGTCCCTCTGTTCCTCATATCTTTTTTACTTTGTATCTGCTTTTTATATTTAAGCAATAGCTCACGACAGGCCGTGGTATATTATATCCATAGACTGTATATATAAAGATTATATCACAGTTAAGGGGCGTGATTCGGCCCGACGAATGCAGTTTGCTTTTCAGCCCAACTGTATACAGTTAAATCGACCGGACTTCTGCCGATGTGAGCGTCCTAAACAACGGTCAATAAGTCCTTGCTGGACATTATCCCTTACATGTTTCCAATTTAAAGGTGGGGTAGGTAATTTTGGAGAAACCAGCTTGAGTGCGCTAGAATTTGAAAATACACAGCCGGAAAAAATCTGCCACTTCCTTACAGAGCCCCCCCTCCAACACACACGAACGCGCACATGACCAATGAGGGCACGAGATAAGTTTGTGCACAGATGGAAGGCTGACAGGCAGGTAGGCCATCCAGTTATTTTAGATTATTGGTCATGCTTTTTACAGCGCCACGGCTTCCACAGATGACATTTCTTTATGTATTTTTTGTCAAAGCACTTCAGATATTCATTGCTATCGGGATGTTAAGAGCATTCCATGGAATATAACAAAAAGTGTATCTCGAGCCGGTTTCTCAAACTTACCTACCCCACCTTTATTTATGAAACAATACTTTTAATTTTGTATCCAAAGCTAATTACAATAAGTGCAATAAACCATAAGGATAATATATCTCTGAGCAACAAGAAACCTGCAGCTAGCTTCCCTCCAGATGAGCCATAAGTGCATTATATAGTTTCAAATGAGCTAAACCTTTTAAGCAATACATTTCTTTTGTGTGTTTTAATTGAACCAAGTTGCAGACGGAACATGTGGTATTTCAGTCTGCAATGCAAGACGTGTAGACTCTCAGTAATCCTGATGTCTAAATAGAGCTTGTTGGGGGCCTTGATGCTCTCTTTGCCCCCACTACGTCTCAACTTCAGGGGCAAGTTGTGTGTGGAGGATCAGACCAACAGGAAACAGACAGAGGGTTGAGATGTCAGACAGAAAGCTGCTCAGAGTCAGACGGTCAGACGGTTGGGACGGCAGACAGGCTGGCGGTGGGCGTCTCTCTGCTAACGAGGCCTGACAGCTTCCATGCAGGCTCAAGCGACAGAGAAAGAGAGGATCGGGTCAGATCCAGAGCGTTTGATGTCCGGGTGGCGCTCTCGTTTGAAGGCACCGCTCATTCCTTCTCCGTTTGCTTTTTTAAGTTCAAACTGACCGAGGTAAACTCACAATGACTCAAAAACAAATATATCTGCCCACCAACTGATACTACAACCACTTGTCTGGATTGTGAGATTACCCAACATGCTCTCTTTTTCTGGTACATACAAGAGGGTCATTCTTTATTGTGCAGCCGGAAGGGGTCTGACATTTTTTTTTTTTTTTTGTGGTGTAAGCCAGGAAATCCTGGGTTGGCGTGCCGGGCTGGACGGCGTTTCCATTGTCTGGCCGCTCGCTCACTGCTCCCATTGATGCTCTTCATCCAGCTGTAAAATCTGGTGTGGTGCTGAAATGTGTGTGTGTGTGGGTGTGTGTGTGTGTGTGTGGGTGGAGGTGGGTGGATTCCACACACTCTGAAAATAAGATGTTAAGAGTAGAGTAGCAGGGTTTGCATTTGAGGGATACAAAACCTGCTGTGATTGCTTCCTGTGTCCTTCCTCTGCACGGTATCCTCCTCTCTTCCTTCCTCTCCCTATGTCTCCCCCAATCCCTAATTAAAATGGGTTGTATTGGCACGTAGGTGTAAGAACAACCTCACCCAAGCAGTACACATATTTGGGCAGAACACTATAAACTGGAATATGAACAAAAAGTTAAGTTTGACACATTTAACCTAAATCCTATGTAGTTATCTCCAGTTGAAATGCTATTGATCGTATGTAGCAACAAATCAATTGACTTAGTAAGCATCTCGCCAATTACGTGTGTGTGTGTGTGTGTGTGTGTGTGTGTGTGTGTGTGTGTGTGTGTGTGTGTGTGTGTGTGTGTCTAGATTATCCACTGTCCCTCAGGTTGTGGCACGATGACAGATATTGGGCAACGAGGTCATTCTGTTTCCTTCTCCCATGAGTATTTTGAGAGGTGATTTATTTCTTATAAGACTGAAACTACTATTGATTGGAACTTGTTACATCTAATGTTTTTATTAACCAACATGTTACAGATTGTAGGAAGAAATGCATTTTAGTCTCAGCATCACTTGTCGAACACTGACTCATTTTCATGTACAATATTTGTTGTCTTCCTCTTGATATTTGTGGTCGCTGAGCCTACCTTCTCTCCCCCCTCTCCCCCCTCTCTGCCGGCCGGAGCTGCAGCTTTTCATGATGCATTTCCCCTCTTCCACCACTGATGTTAAGGGAGACAGATTAACATAACACCCTCAGCAGGAGGAACGCAGTCAGCATTAAAACACACTTCCCCTGGAACTGATTTTCTGCATAATCTGTTCCTCCCGACTCCACCACCACCACCAGCAGTAACTCCACTCCCTCAGTGTCTCTCTTAAGGCTCTACCTCAACATCTGGTTCTTCATCTGATTGATCACTTTAGATTAATCATATCTTATCTACAGCATTGTTACACTTGTCTGCATTGTTTCTGGTTTACTATCTGTCGTTTCCATCAGTTATAAAACATTGTGCTTACCAAAGAAACTACTGAAGAGGTCAGACGATCAGACAAGTCGTAAAGAAGCCCAATGTTTATCCACATTATCTAAAGCATTTTTTTTTTGCAGGTAAATTGTTCAAAGTTAAAGCATGAGGTTATCTTTGAACTGTACCCTATTTATTTTTGATCTTATATATTTTATATAGGAGAGGAGATTGCATTATTCCACTCAGAAAAAGTTCTTTCAGTCAGTCTTCATTTTCTGTTAAAGCTGCTCAGTAATGGAACTCAATCCCACCTCCGATCAGAGACCAGACCACATTCACTTTATTTAAATCAAAGCTCAAAATATGGTTAGTGGGGAATCAGCTCTGCCGGCACTGACCCAATCTTCTGCTCCTTACAAAACCATATTTTGAGCTTTGATTTAAATAAAGTGAATGTGGTCTGGTCTCTNGTACGTGTGTGTGTGTGTGTGTGTGTGTGTGTGTGTGTGTGTGTGTGTGTGTGTGTGTGTGTGTGTGTGTGTGTGTGTGCGCAAGTGTGTGTGTGCGTGCCATTTGTGTTTTCATTTTAATCAAATGTAATGTGTAAGTAGGTATATTTCACCATTGAAAACCATTGTTAACATGTAGATAATGGTAACCTCAATTTATAAAAATCTCTTAACAACTAAATGTAGTCTGCCTTGATGGTGCTGAAAGAAAAGGCATTCAAATCCAAATCCTCCAGGTTGCGAGAACTCAGTTTTCATGACAACAGTACTATACAATGCTTTAAATGGTATTCATGCTCAGATAGCAAAGTCTTCTGTAAAGGACGATTCAACAAAACGAAATTGCATTTTTAAATACGTTTCAAAGGACAATGAAAGTCCGCAGAAGTCAGCATTTGTAGGAGGTCTTTATTTAACATAACTGGAATATCTTTCCCATGTCGTTTTATCAATCCAAACCATGTCGTTTTGTTGCTTTGACATGTTTACCGCGTTTAAAAGCAGCGAACGTAAGCCTTGTAGAAAAGTTTAGTTGTATGGGAGCGTAGTTTTTTTGGAGACAGGATTGCAATATAAGATATATTGTACTCAGAGTTGGCATTTTGACCGGTGAGATAAAGGAGGAAACATCACCAAGTGCCGAACATGAAATCATCCTGTGGAGAGCATGAATGTGTAGTACGTTTCAAGACAACTTCTTAAAAGATACGGACACATTGTCTTGATAATCATATTTACATTTTGCTGTAGACAAAGCCCAAGACTGATGAAGCAAACACTAGGAACGTAAATCTTAGACAGTCGCTGTGAAATCTCCGTTTCCGTCCACTCCTCCAGTTTTCTCTTCATCTCCATCCCTCCACCGGTCCTCCTCTCCTATCTACTTCCTTCCTTCTCCTCTACTCACTCCCTTCCTCTCCTCCTCCCATCCTGCCCTCCCTTATCTCCCTCCCTTCCTCCATGCCAGCTGTTGTTTTGGAGGTTCTGCAGGTCAGGACCCCGGCAGGACCTCGACAGTCTTCTGCCCCGATAAATGCAGGCATTGTGGAGGCAGGAGAAAGATCACTTGTGCTTATTATCGAATGTTATTTTGGCGCTCTATGAGAGGGACAGGAAGCAAAAAAGCAGAAGAGCTAATGGTTGGAGGATTTATTACATGCATTATTGTGATTTAATTTATAGCTATATGTTCAATCTAAGCTCTTTTTATTGCTAAACTTTTGAAGAAGCAAACAGTTGTTCTGTTTTGGAGGAAGTTCAGTTGTTTCTGTAAGGCGATCGTTGTTGTCTCAAAGACAAGATGGTTGGAACATTAAAACATTAATATAGTTTATGTAACGTTACCTTACGGGAAAGTCACCATACTCGGAAACAAGTGAATATTTTGAATAAGCCTACATTGGCCGACATCTGAGTATCTTTGGACACATTTCCAGACATAAATACATTACATGTTACTTGTTAAGACTTACATACTCAATACTGTGGGCAATCCCCACAGGAGCAATTTGGGGTGAAGTGTCTCAGGGACACAAC